CACGGCTGGGATATCATGTCTTTCCAGGTACCGTCATGTTTTTGTTTTGGATTGGACGAGGGGGATTTTGTCTTTGATGGAAGGTCCAGCGCCAACTGGCTCGGCTGTTGAGCTAGGACTTGGAGATGAAGAAAAAGAGAATGATCACACCTCCAACTTAGAAGAGTATCTACAGTCAAGGGCCTAAGAAATCCAATCCTTGAGGCCCACCATCACCAAGACTCACCCCAAGTCCCCCTCCCGTTGGAAACCCTATCCAAATTTCTCCAATGTCACCTACCAATTCCCCTTCCCATCGTGCCCCCCAACAAGGCAACATTTCTCCCATCTTGACATGCAGCCCAATCCTTCCCACCGTCATAACCCCCCGGCCCCGCTGCAACCTGTGGAGTCACATTGATACCAAAAAAATGGTAAAAGAGAAAAGAAACTGGGGCCACCCGGGGATTGAACCCGGGACCTCTCGCAAGCTTTCCTCTGAAAGGAAGATTGACTTTGTAAACATCAGGGTGAACCCTAAGCGAGAATCATACCACTAGACCAGCGGCCCTTTTTCTGTGCTGTGATACCACCACGCCAATATGGGGCATAAGAGAGGACCACCACCCCGTGCACAACACAACAGAGGTTCTGAGCATGGGACATCAATGATACATAAGAGAAAGAGATCATCATAAAAGAGACAGGTAAAAAAAAAAAAAGAAAAAAATTATTTTTTTTTTAAAAAAAAAAGGAAAGAACTCGGTTGTCCACCGGGGGCGTTATTTTGACAGCCATCTCTGAGCTTCGATGGATGATAGTAAATGCTTAGAGAACAGACAACAGAAGCTCAGGGGTTTGCTTGTACTCAAAGTTCAGACAAAAGATACCGAAAGCTTTAGATGGGTGATGTACCTAGACAGTTTGGACCAGATGTAAAAGTATTTTCGGTTGGCAAGATTCGCACCACATCATCCAAGCTCAAATACCTAGTTGCTGAGGGATGTCCAGAAATCAGATACCCTTCTGCTGATTACCATTTATCACCACCAATGCCATCTTTCTACATGCAGCTCTTCCGAATACAAACATTACCACAAACAATAAACACCCAACTCCCAGATATTACACATATCCCACAGCCCCTATCCAACCTCCAAACATCACACCCACCGCTTCACATCTCCCACAAGCCCACTCCTCTCCTTCACCGTCCACCTCCTCCCCTCCTCCACCTTCTCCTGCCTCGCAACCTCATCCTTTTGAGGCAACACCTCTCCACCACTACCACCACCACTAACAATCCTCCTAACTTTTACTTTCTCCATCTCTTTCCCCTTTTCTTTCCCCTCCCCCTCCTCTTTCCTCCCCCCCTCCTCTCCCTC